CGGAGAGAAACTGTATAATGTAGAGAAAAGGTACCGGAGAGAAACTGAGATTCTGAATAAAAAAACTGAGTCCGTTTAACCCTATAATGCCAAATGTGTCATATCTGATTCATACGGTTTCTGAAATGTTTTGCGTCTGACACCTTTTGCATAATTTAATGGTAAAAACTTTGCTCAAAATCCTATTGTACACAATCAGATACACCTGATAACAGGGGGCAGAAGACTACACCAAAAATAATCTTGACTTATCACATAGTAATAAATTATTAATATAAAAAATGTATTTCTGTTTTATCTTTTTATACATATTTTGTATATAAAAAAGGCCAAATAAGGAAATCAAACCAAAAAAAAAGTAATATTCTGTTTTGCTTTATTCTTGGATCAGGCTTTAAAGGGTTAAGAGAATGAGAGATAGAAAACGTATCAAAGGGAAAACTTCATATCACGCTGTTCCAAAGTAAAACAAAATCATAGTACATTTTATACTATTTTCTGAGTCTAAAATGAGAGGTAAAGTCTGCCCTCCAATCCTTAAGAATTAGACAAAATATGAGGAGGACTTCTCTTAAACCTTAAAGGAGGCAAGGACCATTAAAATACTCAATTGTGGAAATTTACCAGAGAGAATAAAATGGAAAAGAAATAGAATAGAAATGAAGAATAGAAAAGAAAAGAAAATGATGATACATATATTGATTTCCCCAACAGACTGAGACCTTCATTGCTGGTGTTTTATTGTATCTCAGAAGGGGGAAAAAAGCTGAGGAATAAGAAGAGAATCCAGAGTGTTTGTCTTGAATGTTAAAGGTCAGGAGTATTGAGAGATGAGGGCTTTATCCCTGATTAAAAACCAGCAACTGTGTGCCTCACGTCATTAAAAAAAAGCTGGAAACACAAACTGCAGAGTACTGAACTGTGTTTCAAATGTCACATAAACAGTTTTAGGAGCCAGAAAAAAGATAAACAAAGCCATGCACGTCAACAAATGAACCAATAAGTTAAATTCCCACCTTTATTTAAACAAGAATATATGGTGATTTCATCAAAAATCTTCAAACAAGCAGTTTTTTTGTGTTAAATTACATGAGAATAAGTAATCAGCAATCGATCCAGGAGAAAGACAGCATGCAACGAATGAACCAATAAGTTCAATTCCCACCTTTATTTAAATAAGAATATATTGTGATTTTATCTAAAATCTTCAAAAAAGCAGTTTTTTTGTGTTAAATTACATGAGAATAAGTCATCAGAAATAGACAGCGTGAGCTAAATGGAGCTATTGATGCTTCCCTTTGCCTCCATCTCTTCTGAATACTTCAGAACGTATTGATTTTGTGTTTCTTTATTGTTGGCTGGCTCTCTAAGCTCCACATGGAGGCTGTTCAGGAATGAAATCTGGAAAAGGGATTCCCAGCTCTCTGATATAAGCCGACATGGAAAATGACGCTAAATTAAATTGAGAGCCTGAGGATGAAAAACCAAATCCTTGCCCCATGTTATGCCTAAGAAATAAATGTCAGTCACATCTAGGGTTGTCACGATACTAACATTTTTAACTGGATACCGATACCACAAGGATAAAAACAAAGACCCCAAAATTTAACTGAATTTTGACAGGTTAGTGTGTTTCCTTTCAAACTTGCTGATTTTTACCGTTGTTATCGTGGACGGTGGCCTAATTAATAACCCTAACCCCTAACCCTGACCCTGACCCTAAACCTAAACCTAACCCTAACCCTGACCCTAACCCTCCAGCCTTCATAATAGTGAGAAATAAATATTTTGGGGTTAAACTTGTTTGGACTTATTGTACAAACCTATTTAACATCCACTATTTTAACATTATATTATGCATAGAGTTTAATTCAGTGTTTGCAAGATTCATTTCACTATTTTTAAATTGACGTCTATATTGCCATGAAGCAATTAGGATTTTCTTGCCTGGGATCTTCCTATTGGTGACCTAATCAAAATGGCCGACTTGGATGTGGGGGAGTTGGATATCCATCCTTGGCTTCCTGCAGTCTTGATTAATGTTGGCGTGTTATTATTAGCCGTTAGCCGCCGCTAGCAATTCAAGGCTAACGTCACGTTAATGATCATAAACAACGTGAATAAATAAATAAATAAATAGATGTTGGCTCTAATGGGATTCGTGTGGATTTCTCTGAGCAGATCTCGGACGCCCTGATCAAACGGGTGACTTCGTCTCAGGACCAGTGGGTGAAAGGCGCCCTGGAGCCGAAGGTGGGCGCCGACTTCGACCTCAGCGTTAGCACCGACTCACTTCTGCAGACCATCCTGCAACTGGACTTCATCCAGGGAAAAGGTGAGCAAACCCCCGCGGTCTAAAAGCAGAAAAGAGCATATCTGAGGTCTCTGAGTGAAGAAAAAGGCTAAAAGAAACGACATGTGACACTGTGTCATCTTCGTTTTAAATATAAAACGCGCACAATCTTTAATTTATCAAGTGTTAGCATCTCAGAAAAGAGCTGAGCGAATCTGTGCTGTAAAGCACTCAGGAGGAAAGAAATCAGAAACTAGAAAATGGCTGTTCCAGCTGTGAGAATGTGGAGAATGGAGGAAGAAGGAGAAGAAGCCAAAGAAAAGCAGAAAAAGACATAGAGTGGAAGAAAAAACGCTGAAGGGAGGAATCATTTTAAAGAGCTGAAAACTAAAGAGTGGAAGAAGAAAGGTAAAAGGATTCGAAGGAGAGTAAAAGGCCATAAAATTATCATGAAGATTTGAGTTGGATTTGAACCAACAACTTCAGGATCTGCTGTACCGCTGAGCTATACCGCTGGGCTATACCGCTGGGCTATACCGCTGAGCTATACCACTGGGCTATACCACAGGCTGAAGGGCTGTGGTATAGCCATTCATTTCAATGAGAGGAATAAGGTATAAAAGGTTAAATATCTTAAAGATTTGAAAAGATCTGAACTCCAAAACTCATAGCTGCATAGTCCTGAGATAGATGAACATTTTGATACCTTATTTGTTGAAATTGGCTGAAAGCTGTACGAGTAGTATGCAGAAAAACGTACGGAATAACAAATAATAAAGAGAAACAGGAAAACAATAGTGAGAATGCCTGTAGGCATTTTCACAATCATCTAGATGTAATGCTTAAATAAGGTGGACAAACTCAGCAAAAGTCTAAGAATCCCAACGTGTTCAGGGTCAGAACTAAAGCTGGAACCAGCTACGTTTGGGGAAAAGAAAATCAGGTTTGCAGGCTAGTTAATCACACAATTGACATGAAATTAGCTTAATTCCTTTTATAGATATCAACACTTTGTTATACGCTGCGTTTTTTGTGTGTCTGACATTTGGATTTGGACCAAAGACCTGAGTGTGATCACGTGCACAGGCTCGTGGACAAAAAGGTTCCTTTATTTAGCATTTATTTAGCATTTAGCTGCTCTAACAGGTCCCTTTTGAGCTCTCTCTTTTTTTAATTTTTTTATTTTATTTGTTTTTATTGAACTTTTTTGCAAAGCAGGGAAACATCAAATATTAAAAACTCTACATACATATGAGAGGGATGTACACATATATAAGAATAATAATAGAAAAATAAAAATAAAAAATGATAATAATTTAATAATAATAATAATAATAATAATAATAATAATAATAATAATAATAAATAAATAAATAAAAGAAAATAATAAAAATAAATAACGGGTGCCCAAAAGCAGAAAAAACGAACATAACACTACAAATTGTCCTCTTGTTGCCAGGCTAAGTCAATTAAACCCAGTCTCAATCTCTGAGCTGCAGACGCATCCAAATAGTCCAAAAAAGGGTCCCATGTCCGGTGAAAGAGAAATGCTTTTGAGCTCTCTTTACAATGCACATGTCTCATTTTCTCTGGCTGTTACGACCAGTAAGCAGTCGGTGTGCTGATTCCTTCCACAGCGGTTCCTCAGATGTACCGCCGTATGAAATATGTAATCACCAGCATGCATATTTCATCTCACAGCGGCTCCACTGAGGTGGTAAAAACTGAGGTTAGGTTTTTTTCTGAGGATGTGGAGCGAACACGGCTCCTTTCCGCCATGATTCTCCACACGTAATGAAGCGTTCACAACACTCCTCGTATCATTTGCATTTTAATCGATGCTTTGAAAGCACAAACAAAATGTCCTTTAGATAGCAGGAAACCAACCCTCAGTCCAAACCCGCAAAGTGACGAGTTTAAAGACTGACTGTCATGTTGTTTTTATTTTTTAACATCTCTGAGTCGAGGCTTTGAAATCCAGAGCAAACAACCCGGTGAAAGGAGGCGGTTAAAGTTTGTCCTCCACTACTCTGTGATCCCAGTCCCACTTTGAAACTCTTTACTCTTGTTTCAGGCAAATATGGATGCCAAAGTATGCTAATTCCAGCTGTAAACTGGAGGCTAGTAGCTAAAAAAAAAAAATGGAAGGTGAAATTTAGCATGATTAGCTTGCAATTTATGAGACAGTGGTCAGGATGGAGACATAAACATCTTTTTTATAATCAAACTCAGCCTTACTTTCTATATTGAAGCTAATTTGAAACCTCTTTTGTTGTTTGGATTTCACATTTAGAAGTTATGCTTCAGATTCTTTTACATAAACTGTGAAAATCTGAGCTTCAGGCTGATATCACGAGGTGAAAACAAAGACTTTTTCTTAATTTCTGTGTTGTTTTATTTGCTCTTTTTCTTCCCTTCTGGTTCTTTTGGTCGCAGTATTACTATTTCCATTAAACTCCTGCACCGGTTCCACTGTTTTGCTGCCGTTTTCTGTCAGTTTGCTGTTTATTTAAAGCGTCCAAATCCACGTCGTATTTCCAGATGTGCAGGAGAAACCGTTATTGAAAAACATGCAGGATGCAGACAGTGGTGAGGCTGAGATGGAGACAGAGATCCTGGGAGGTATTTCAGAGACCCTACTTGATCCCAGTCACCCCTCCTGCCCCCCCCCCCCCTTCACTGTTAATCTGATTGGAAGTCACTGACCTTTTTGTCCCGCAGAATCCCCGTGGTCCTTTTCCTCCGCATGGTTCTCGTTTCCCTGCACCTCCTCAGAACTTTGTGGTGCTCAAATAACAGTTTTGGTGGTCTTTATAATGTGATTGGATGTAAACGCACAAAGGAATTGTGGTAAATGTGGCGTGAGGTTACTGTAAACTCACATTTTAATGGTTTAAAGTTAAGAACTCAGTCAAGACTAAAGCTTTAATTTGTGCCGGAGATAATTAATAATCATGAAGACTGAGATATTTTAGGTAAAATGATGCCTGAATAGAGCTGAGACCTACTTAAATCTGTAATTTATTGATTTGGCGTGCAGCTTTTGGGTGATTCAAAGGCAGCAGGCTGAGCGTTTTGTACCTTTTGTGGCCTGTTCTGCTCCCAAAAATCTGTTAGTTTACTTACTTTTTGAGAGTCTGGCCACACTAAATTCTACATCCTCTTAACTCATTGACTGCCAGCCATTTTCAGAACAGAGTCCCATACTGCCAGAGTTTTTTGAGCATTTTGACAGATTTTTCAAGAGCCACAGAATAGTTTGTGCTATGACTATGTAAACACTGAACACACCAAAAGAAAGAGTAGACTCTCTTCTTTCATCAGGAAAAAAAATGTGTTTCTACCTTATTCCGTTCTTCCTGGACTTGCGTCTCACCGGCGACATGTTCTCTCATAGAACCGTTACCTTTTTCTTATTTGCCTACAGTCTATGCTAATCTCCCATCAAAAGTGGCACTGCCCCCTAGAGGGTCAATTTGTTACTACATACTCTGTCTAGAAGCCCGATATTTACGCACAAGCTTTAGCAGATCGTCCCCCAGCCACTCGCGTTGAAAAACATAAAAGACGTCTATAGACGTCTTTGGCAGTCAATGAGTTAATGACATCGGCCAGTAAAACAATCTAAAAGGTTTGGATTGCAGATTTAAGTCTCTTTCACTGATGGAAATTCCCCGACTCTCCCCCAACACAGGGATCGGACAGATATGCTGCTATTGACCGAGTCCTCCCCCATGCAGGTTTTCTTCTTTTTCTCCTCTTTCTCACCCTCTGGGGGTTCACTCCTAGCCCCAGGCGGTCGATCATTTTTATTCTAACCGAAGACTGAAGACACTCACCCGTACTGAATTTGATTTCCCTCCCTTTAGTGAATTGATTCGGCTGCCCTTGCCGGGTCTTAAAGCTCATATCTGTCCAACCCAATGCACCTCCCGCCCTGATGTCCATGAGAGAGATGAAGGTCCTCACGTGGCTCAGTTTAAGCCTTCCGCTGATTCCCAGCTGTTGCCCTCAAAATGAACCTGGAGTCGTTGTTAATCTCACTCTAGATCAGTGCTTCTCAATTAATTTCTGTTACGCCCCCCCTAGCAAGAAGAAGACTATTCGCAACAAAAATAATAACTAATTTATATTTAGTTAAGCAACATTAACTCAGGAGCACAATGTATAAAACACTTAGCTTTCGGTTCACTTTCTTTTGTCTCGTTATCTTTGTCTCTCTCCGTTTTTCTTTTCACCCCTGTTAAAAACCTTTTCATGTTGGGGGTTGTTATGTTGAATAACGGAGGCTGTAGACAGAAGGCTAACCTGTTGTCTTGTAAGTTGTAAAATGTAGCACCGAAGTAACGATGAGAGCGCTACTGCCCCTACTGGAGTGGATGCGCAATTACACTTTATACTAGTATGGCCAAAAAAAAAAGGCTGTTCGCCCCACTATTTGAGAAGCACTGGTATAGTAATGTATATAATGAATATATATATAATAAATATATATAGTATATAATGAACCTGGAGTCGTTGTTAATCTCACTCTTGATTCTCATTAAATCTGCCGGTTCTTTCTCCCCGGTCACATGGTTATTTCTCCTTTCTTCCTACCTTTTTGTTGTGGTTCAGTGTTCACCTTTTCCTTTTCCCTCCTCCATCACCATTCATGTGTCACGTCTGGGGGAATGTCTGGTGTCTCGTCATGTCATGATTACCTATTGTGTACACCTGGGGTTCCCCTCCCTCATGTGTTTAAATAGTCCTCGTTTCCCCTTGTCTTGTGCCAGTGCGTTTCGTCCATTTCGTCCTTCCCGCTTTCGTCGTCTGTCTTTCGTCACCCCCACGTCAGGTGACCCCAGGTTTGCTTTTTTTGCCATAGTCTTTTACTTTGTTCCATAGTCATAGTTTTGCCACAGTCTTGTCACAGTTTTGTTAATCTTTATTTTGTTACTTTGCCATTGTCATTGTTTTACCACAGCCTTGTCACAGTTTTGGTAATCTTTATTTTGTTACTTTGCCACAGTCTTGTTTACTTATTACTTTGTTACTTTGCTCATAGTTTTGCCACAGTCTTGTTGTTCTTTATTTTGTTACTTTGCCATTGTTATTGCTTTACCACAGCCTTGTCACAGTTTTGTTAATCTTTATTTTGTTACTTTGCCACAGTCTTGTTTACTTATTACTTTGTTACTTTGCTCATAGTTTTGCCACAGTCTTGTTGTTCTTTATTTTGTTACTTTGCCATTGTCATTGCTTTACCACAGCCTTGTCACAGTTTTGTTAATCTTTATTTTGTTACTTTGCCACAGTCTTGTTTACTTATTACTTTGTTACTTTGCTACTTTGTTACTTTGCTCATAGTTTTGCCACAGCCGTGTTTTTGTATCATGTCTGGACTTCCACCTTTTTGTTACAATAAACCTTGTCTTCCGTCATCTCATTTTCGTCCTCCCTTCAAGAACCCACCCGCATGACATCGTTCACGTGTCTTTCAAACGCGATTAAATCTTAAAAAACTCCTGTCCCGGCAGCGGAGAGTGGCCCCCCGGTGCCCGCGGCCCCCCTCCTGCAGCTGGAGAAGTGCTGCACCCGGAACAACAGCGTGACTCTGGCCTGGAGGGTCACGCTGCCCGTGGGCAGCCCCATCGAGGGATACATCCTGGAGCTGGACGACGGCAACGGGGGACAGTACCGGGTCGGTTGTGAAGACTCGTTGGCATGACGATGAATAAATAAATAATGATGCAAATAGACAAAAAACAGTCAAATATAATGATTGGCTAATGTAATCTGGTTAAAAGACTCCTGGTTTCCTCCTTATTGAGGTTTTTGGGACACATCACACTGAGAGAAGATCCAGAGGGTGGATAGATAGATAGATAGATAGATAGATAGATAGATAGATAGATAGAT